GAAAATTGCTTTGGCATTCAGCGAGCTGAATTCCGATCTCATTAGCAGATAATTTGCAATGCGTCTTAAGCCATTTTCCATTTTCCACTTACCACACATGTGCCGTGGCACTCAAAAAATTTGTTTAGCCTGGGAAAAATGCTGGAGCAGCTGGAAAGAAATGAAACCAGCACTGAAAATGAAAAGGAAAATAAAAATGTGCGGTAAAGTGAGAAAGCCAAGGGAAGTGACTCCGTCGAGCTTGCAATAATAAAGTGAACTTAGTGCTCGGTGCTCGAGTGCAATGGCAATTGTTGTTGCCTGTTGGTTTTGCTGGGAGCGTATACAGTGGCCGGGATAAGTACGCAGCCAGGCACTCAATTTCGTAAGCAACTGTAGGCGAAGTGGAGTAATCCACGTTCGCTCATTTTCACAATTAGGGGAAGCGACTTTAAACAACGGATTTTCAACTAGCCCAGGACCCAGGCGATGGGCCTTTGTTTTGGCCAAACAAAAAGCGCTGGCTAAGAAGAATTTGCCCAACAAAAAATTCGACTGTGCGAGAGGGGTCCTCTTTTTAATTTTTTTTTGTTGTTCCTTTAATATTTTTTGGACTGCTCTTGACGTCCTCGTCGTCATGGTCGTCCTTGTTGAGTGCAAGTCCTCGACGTAGTCGCCATCTCCGTGGCATGCTTGGAATTTGCTTTGCTTTATGCTTCCTCTCCTCTGTTTTTCAAGGAAGGCGCTGGGTGGGTTTTCGGGCGCTGTAAGTGCACCTTATTTCTTTCATTTTTGCATTATAAAAGGTAGGAATTAATGCACAGTCGAGTGGTGGTGGAGCATCTCGCCGAGAATGTCCAGAGGAGTCCTGTCCCCGTCCTCAAGTCGCTGAAAGTGTTGGGAACTGTTTCGTGGTTTCGTCTTGTTTTATGATTAAAGTTTGTAGTGGGCGTGGTGGGAGTGTCGTCAAAAGGATGGCGGAGGATCTTAAATATGAATAATATAAAGAATGTGATGAATTTCTGCGGAATCGTGTCTTGCCTGCGAAATTCTGCGAATTATTCATCTATTTAGCTGCAGCTGCCTAGCAAGTTTTTATGGCATTTAAAACTATCCCCTATTTAATTTCACAAGCGAAATATTTCTTGAAGTCATTTTAAGCAATTTTCCGGTTTCCCAATGACTGGCTGTCTCCGTTTGTCCCTCTGGCACTCTAATTTGTGCCGTTTATCGTTTATATATCTTATATAAATCCCAATTTATATGCTCTAACCAAAAACAAGCCATCCAGCCCGGCATATTGCTTATCTATTAAAGCAATCCCAAATCGCTCAACTTTGCATAATGCAATTCGCCCAAAAACTAGATAAACATATACATACATATATATTTGCAGCTCTCTGTCTTCAGTTATCCTAAGGCCTTTCCTCCGCACTTACCCCTCTCTCACCCCTCTTTCCGGCTCCTCTGCTGGCTTTTCAAAGTTTTCCCAGCCATTGCATGTCATTTGCATAGTTTTCATTGCCCAAAAGTCCGCCCACTGCCTCTTGCTACGCCCGTTGTTGCAGTTGCTGTAACGAGCTGTCAACAATCTTTTAGTTTGGGCCATCGGCAATGTATTTGCCAGTTTTTCAATTGAATTGTCGAACGACTCGTTGATATCACAGGCTTTCCACTTGGCTAGGCTCTTTGCGTCTCGGGCCGAGATGCAAAAATATTAACTTAATTTATGAGACGGCCTGGGCTGTTAATGTTGCAAATCGACCGACAAATTGCTCGCCATTGGCCAGTTGATTTATGTTAACTGGGTCGCCTGGCATGGAAATGGAAATGGTTAAGGGTATGTGGCTCAGGCTCAGACAATGCAACTAAATGTGCAACCTACTTTCCAATTATCCTGCTGCTGCTGCAGATCCAAGGACCTGCGCAGCACAACCGCAACAACAGCAACTGTAAGCCTGGTTAACAAAGCCTGGCTGAGTGCATTTTAGCTGAATTACGGCTCTTTCTTGACGTGGGGCCGCACAAAAAGACAAGTGGGCGGTGGGCTGTGGGCTGTGGGAGGAGGCAATGCATTCACCTGCATGTGCGGTGGTGGCCAGGTGAAGTGAGCTGCAATGGGTTAAGGGCGGGGCATGAGGCACATGAAGCGGGTGAAGTGGGTGAAGGCCTCGGTACACGCCCAAAGGCGAGTAAATGGCCTTTTGTGCCCATTGTCTGAGGCCTTTGCTTGGGCTCCTGCTCCTCGGCAGAACAGCCATTATATGCCAAAATAAGGCCACTCAATGCCAGCGTAAGATCTCCTTCTACTTCTACTTCTCCTTCTTAGACGCCGTTTCATTTGCAACACCTGCAAATGCAATTTTCATAATTCACTCCAATTTACTAGAGACTTTTCTGCTAATTAGTCGCAGCTACATTTCTGTTTCGGGGCGAAAAGTTGAGGGGAAAAGCAGGTGAACAGAGGTAGTTCCGAGCACAACTTCGGCTAATTGCAAAATAAGCAGAGCCTCATTAAATTAGAGAATATTGCCAGGGAAATCGCCTCGAGGCGGAAATCTGGGCAGGCAACATCCGCTTCCGTTGGCTGAAATATTAACCCACTAATGCCGAGGTCCCAGCCCGGCTCCATGATTCATTCGGTGTCACGTTAACCCATTAAGCAGCGCGCCACAGATACAGTTGTTCGCCGCTGGTGTCCTTGTTTTGCGGTCTAAATGCACAAAAAGCTTAGCATAAATGAGCGGTGCTCTGCTGTGTTTTGCTGTCGCTCCGCGTCCGGTAACAAAGCTCATTAGCGAAAGTAGCAGAGCCAGCGAACAGCAGCTAGTGCAGCGTCATCTAGCGGAAGCTCTGTTCCCAAGAGGAGCTACCCAAAAATAGGGGGAGGCGAAGAGTTTTGCAAATATTAAATCAGTCCGGAGACTGGCGAGATTTCTTTGAAGCACTAATTAACTTGGCGATTTAAGGCAATGACTGGTGGAATAGTTATATGGAGCTTTATTACATAACTTTAAATAGTAGTCAAATCTAAAATATTTTTTACTAAAACGAATTTGTTGAATTTTGTATTGCCGTTATTGGTATCTTATGGAAAAAGGGTAATATATGTATATTTATTATTATATTTTTTAATTAAAACAAGAGAGAACGCTATAGTCGGGTTGGTGTCCCGACTATCTAATACCCGTCACTCCGCTAAAGGGAGTGCGAACGCTGTGTCGGGTTGGTGTCCCGACTAATAATCGTAACTCAGCTAAAGGGAGCGCGAGGGAGATAGATATATGTTGACAATTTATAAATCGTTTAACTTTTTAATGAATGGTCCGATTTGAAAAATGCCTTCTACATTTCGATAGATATAAATATACACAACAAAATTGCATTTATACTTCTCGGAAATCTTTAAAGATGTGGGCGCAGGACCCATTTTAAAATCGTTAGTGGGCGATTGTGGGCGTTAGAGGGGGCGTGGCGCTCGGCTAAAATAAACTTGCGCTGCGTAGGAAGCCAAAGAATATGTGTGGGAAATCTCAACCTTCTAGCTTTTGTAGTTTCTGAGATCTCAGCGTTCATACAGACAGACAGACGGACAGACGGACAGACGGACAGACGGACATGGCTAGATCGACTCGGCTAGTGACCCTGATCAAGAATATATATACTTTATGGGGTCGGAAACGCTTCCTTCTAGCTGTTACATACTTTTGCACGAATCTAGTATACCCTTTTACTCTACGAGTAACGGGTATAATTAATGTATCTGTATTAAAATAAATCAGTATTTTAAGTTATTTATTTTGTATACATTACAAAATGTCAGTAAATGCATTTGCCAACTCTTTTAGTCTTCCAATGGAATTACAAAGTAGCACAAATATTGCATGGCATTCCTCGTTTAGTATTTATTTTAAGGTTTTCCCCCTTTGAAATCTTTCAAATTCCTCGCATCGAAATTTTCCTTGATTTCCTTTTAATTCTTTAGGCAAATAATAACAAAACGAATCCAAAGATAAAGTTCAGAGCCCCGCCCCATTTGCCAACTTTTCCAGATTTATGCCGTTTGTCTTTAGGCGTCTTTACCGTCTTTGCCGTCTTTTCCGACTTCTCCGACTATCTGTGTGGATTTGAGTACCTGCTCGCAGAAGTGGAGCAGCTGGAAATGGGGAAAGTTGGCAAGTGGGCGGCGGCAAAGTGTCTTAACAATTGCTCGGGCATCTATAAACATAATTAAAGAAACTCTGGCAAATTAATTCGAGTTGCGAATTTAACAATTTGCCGGGGAAAACTTTTGCCCACCGAACAATAAACAATCAAGTTAGCTTCAATGGCGACTGGAGACTGTCGACTGGCAACTTTTTAATCAAGTTGAGGATGCAAATTGCAAAATGCTGGATAGTTGGGTTATATGGCCACCTAATTGGCCGGCGTTAATAATATGTGCTTGTTACCGACAGTTAAATTGCAGAGCAGCTGACGCCAGTGATTCAATTTGTCAGCTGCTTGTTCGATGTCCTTCTCTTGGTGTCCTCCTGGTGTCCTCAAACGATGTGACTTTTAGTGCCGAGCTTAATTAAAAACCCTGTTGGAGTAATCGTCGGCGTCTTGTCGTCTTGTCATCTGGTCCTCGCTCCTTGCAAGTAGTTGCAAAGTTCGATTTTTGTCGTCTGCGTCTGCGGTCGTTTGCCCCAAAGTGCAAAGCGCTGTCCTGTGGAAAAATCAGCCAAAGGATGAGGATGAGGATGAGCTGATCTGAGCCCCGCGACACATGGCTTCCGCTCCCACAGTCCCCATCCCTTCCAGACTCGCTCCTAATTGAGTTGTACAAGACGACTACTAATTGCATTCGATGCCTGCCGCTCGGCGTTGATATAATTAAATTTTATTGGCCGGCGAGGGAGCTTAAGGTGTTTTCTGGTCAGATTTATCGCCGTACATTTTAATTAAAATTTAATCGCGGTGGAGCCCACGCTCCTTGCTCACTGATCCGCCTTTCCCTTTCCCGTCAACTCCCATTCGGTTGGGGGAGTTATCTAAATTTTTAGTTTTACAAAAATCTAGCTCACTGAAGGCACAAAAATAGGTTGTAGAAACAGGACACCCAGACACACGAATACACTTTTACACGAGACGCCTAAGGACGAGACATACGAAGACTGAACACACAGAAAGACTGACAATATGGTACAGCAGAAGCTCGATACGACGGACAGTGGTCTGCAGAGTGGCGAGAGCGAGCCACCGTCGTCCTTCAGCCCGGACGAGGATGGGGAGCCGGATCTGTGTGCTTTTTGCCTGGACCGCATCCAGGATCCGGAGAAGCTGCACTGCAACCACGCCTTCTGCAGGCGCTGCCTCGAGATGTACCTAGAGGCCCGCAGCTGGGTGGCCAAGCGCTGTCCAATCTGCCGCAGGAGCCTGGAGGAGCAGGTGTCCAGGCAGTTCAATGACGTAAGTGAAAAGTATCGAAGGTCCAATGATTCGTACAGAAGAACACTTAAACACTAGAACTATACGTGCGCGGATCATGGGAAGGGATTTGGGGCATAGTTCTCCCTATTTCGGTAAAAAATTAAGGGACATTCTGTATTCAACAAGTATGCAACAAGGTATTTGTTTTGAAATCCTACCAAAACCAAATCCTGGGATCGGCCATTGTAAAATTACTTACTGATAAATAGTTAAAAATTAAATTTACATTGCTTGTTGAAAAAAGAAAGCCTTTCTTCGGTATTCAAAAAGTGCGCAACAAAAAAATATTCTAAAATCCCCCCACAACCAAAATCCAAAAAATCCTGGGATCGGCCATTGTAAAATTACTTACTGATAAATAGTTAAAAATTAAATTTACATTGCTTGTTGAAAAAAGAAAGCCTTTCTTCGGTATTCAAAAAGTGCGCAACAAAAAAATATTCTAAAATCCCCCCACAACCAAATACTGGGATCCGCCATTGTTAAGGACTGAATGATAAATATTTTACAATTGAACTTACATTGTTTATTGAAAAAGGAAAGACATCCTGCTGCTTACGCCCTCGTCATAACTCTGTGATCTCCCACAGGACTGGCGCCTGTTCGGCTTCATGATGGTACTGCTGATGCTGCTCAGCCTGGGCCCGTTTTACTTGCTGCTGCTCTACTGGTGAACTCCTGTGCCGCCGGAGCAGCACCTGATTTACGAAAATCTGTATATTTGTACTTAGATAGACGCACGAGAGATGTATGCAAACTTGTCCGTGGATTTTAATTAAACTCGCAAGCCATAAAATGCGAGTGGAATGTGCTTTGTTCTGCCCTTGCCTTTGTCCTTTGTCCCTTGTCCTTTGACCACTTTAATGAGTTTTTAGCCAGGCAGCTAGATAAGGTTTTCTTAGCGGCAAGCGGCTTGAATAGAAAGCCAAGTTGCGGGTAGCAGAAGTGCACATACGCCCCGTTGCCGCACTGCTCCCATTGTATCCGCGTTTTAATTCAATTTTATGCGCCAATAAACTGCTTCGGATGATGATGGCATAAAAAGTGTTGCCACGCATGCATATTGCAGCGAAAAGCAAATAAATCTAAGCCGAGTCAGCCCTTCGAAATATCCCAATATCCACAAATATCCACACTCTGTGGGACCCTTATTTATGTTTATTTTGCTGCTGTAAATCAAATTGTAGCTCGCCAAAAAAATATGTATATTATACAAATATTTTGCCACTTTAAAATGACCAACAAGTAAATATTGGAAAATGTGAATATTAAATGTTTGTTGGCCAACAGATGGATCAGTTGATACCCCGTGTGGCTGGGAGCTTATCGTCCTTTCTGTTTGATTGGTTGTACAATTAATTTAATTTAATTTTATAATTAACAAAGCTTTACAATTAAGCCAAAGTGCAATAATTACATTTTATCATATATTTACTTTGTGACTTCCTAAATATTTCGTATATTTATTGAACATTTAAAAACTAAAATAATCCTATTTATTTGAGTAAGGTCTAGTTAAATCCCGTTTCGCCAACAATAAATATTTTTGTTTGCAATTTTCCAGTGGATTCGATAGACTTTTGTCTAGGGTACAACGCGATTTAAATAGTGGTATTTTGCAGCCGCCGGGGCTTTTGCGTTCATTGTTTTGGATTTGGGCCATGTTTGTGCCGCAGTCTGTTCGTTTGGCCATAATAGCTCACACATGCGGCCGTCCGCGGGCAAACAAATATGGCGGGTGAATTTCGATATGGTTCTTCGGCCATTTTGATTGCTTACCCGCATCGTTCGCCGTGAAAACGCTCCGGAATTTCGACCGTGTCTAAATATACCGCTGTAAACTAATATTCCACACGAGATATGGATAGTCTTGTGGCGAAATGGAACTGGAAACTGGCCTAATCCCCTCTTTGGGCATCGGGTTCCATTCGCATTCGCATTCGCCGCTCGCTGTCACATCCGTTCGCACAGGATATGAAAAGGCAGCTCTTCAGTTTTCCAGCCACTATTTTTTCCGCCATTTGTCCGATTTGTGGGCCAATCCACACTCGATTTTTCGCCTTTTTTCACGGCACTGTTTGGCTTTTGTCAGCTGGCAGGCAAATTGAAATGTTTGCCTCTGGCATCGGTTTTCCACCAAAAGCCCCCCTGCATCCCGCTCTACCATCTTTTTGGCTGTTTGTTTGTTGATCTTTGACACTAGGCTGTAATTGAAAGTTTTGTGTGGACATTTGAGGAGACAAAGCTAATCGATAGGGCCGGGATGCGAGCCGAAAACTGGTTCAGCGGAGCCAATCCAAATTGAATTTCGACCCGTGCCGAATGGGCGGGCAATTTGCTTTATATTCTCAATTAGTTTCGTGAACGTGGGCGTGGGCGTGGGCTTAATTAATTTTTACATGTCCCGTCGTGACCTCCAACCTCCAGCCTTCAGCCTCCCTGGAAAATCCACCTGTCCTCATTTGTTACGCCCATTTCGTTGCTGGTTTGCTGGCAAGCGGCTTTATCGCCCGTCCGTGTCGCGACCACAATTTCATCGATAGCAAACACAGACGGCGGGGCATTTCCAACCGCTTTTCCGCCCATTTTCCCACCGCCCAGCCGCTGGCTCATTGCCAATGCATTGTGCGCCGATTATTTTGCCGTTTATTTCGCTCTCGCCCGGCGATTTTCGTTATTTTCGTTATTTTTCCTTGCTTTTTTGGTTTTTGTCTTTCGCTGACTCTGTTTTCCGGGGCCTGGGCTTTCATATTAAATTTTTGTCACTCTGCCATGTCTATCTTCGGCTTCGGTGCGCTCCAAATTGGCTGCTTTTCAACAAAGATGCAACATCTGTTGCCATGGGGCTGCTGCTCCATCTCCCATCTTCCATCCTCGTATCGCTTTGCATATCCTTTTTGGCTCTGGTGCAAATTGCAGTGTTGGCCCGGCAAAAGGAGCTCATGTCCCGATGTTTCTCCGGCTGTTTCTCTCGCCGCAGAAACCCAAAATCCTATTCATTATGTCACCGGGGGGCGGGGCGGGAGATGGAGCTGCAATGGGGATCTGGGATTGCCATTTGCATGTCCTGTTTCGTTTCATTAAATGCTTGCCTTGCCGCATGCAATTACCAATTTATTTTGCCGGAGAGTGCACTTCTGGCTTGCCTCGGCTCTTTATGGGGGACTGCCTCGGATAAGGAATAACCCCCAAGTTTAGCGAGTGCTCACATGTTTAAATTGTGCCAAATTAGCTTGGTTTTTATTCCCGCTTCTTGGTTGTCCCGTTTTTTGCAGATTTAAATTGTGCATTTTATAAATCCACGGAGCTCAGTTGTCGGACTGGTTTTCCCTTTGATTGATGTTGTGTGAGTTTTCTTACATGACATTGTCTTTGGGGCATTCTGAGGATGATTCGGTATTAAGGAATTAAAAATATTACATTTAAATTATAAAATTTAAGAAACAGACAATCTAGCTGCACTAATAAAAAAACCTATTTATTTACTACTACTATTTTCGCTGTTGTTTTCTTCCCTTGCACTCTTATTAATTTATTTTATTTAACAATTCTAGCTTATTTAAGGATTCTAAATATTGATTTTAAAATTAAATTTTTTGACTTGACGATGTTTATTTTTATTTTCTATCTTTATTCAAATCTTTTGAAATTATCATTATTTATTTATCAAAATATAAAATTTAGTATAAAAAACAAACTAAATAAGTAAATAAGAAAGGGTTCTATAGGATTTATAAAGCGTGTTTAACGTTTGTTTAATTTCTTATCCAGAGCGATTTCAATCTGATTAAAGTGCACAGTAAAGGCAGTGATTCTGCTAATTTTATGCATCTTAATTTCCATTACCTTTTCTTTGGTGCACATTTGTGCATAATGATTTCTGCCCTTTTGCCCACCATCGCAAACTGTAATGATATAATTAATTAGTCGACCTGAGCGAGGCGTCGTTGAACCCGGATGCCGCATTTGTTTTTGCCAGCTGCATGCACACGATCCCGGCTGTTGTTGTGCCACGGGTTACCTCAGCATCTACGCTTAGAGTACAGAATCCAGAGACCAGAATCCAGAGTCCAGAATCCGGAATCCCTGGTGCCGTGCCGTGCATTGTTTGCTCTGATTGCCGGCGTGGCAGAAACCGAAACCGAGGCAACGACCTCTGGCTGGTTGTCAAAGATTAAGCAAACCGAGCTAAGCGGACAAACAAACACGCACTCGAGGGCATTTGGCAGGACCTGCCAGGATAGCCAGGATGGTCAGGATGGTCACGATGGTCGGCAGGATGGCAGGATGCACACGGCAATGGCTGCATTTAGTGAGCAATAAATTCCCTTTTAATTTACTAAATGTGTTTGTGACTGTCCAGAGTCCAGTAGTGGCCATGTCCTGTGCCCAGGTTGCTCCCATGTCCTGTGCTCTGTGTCCTGCGCGTGAAGCGGACAAATGGCTGCGGAAGACGAATGATGCAATTGTCTGGCCTGACTCTTAATTGCCTCTGGTCCTTGCCACTCGAAGTTCGAAGTTTTTTGGCTTCCAATTATGCAAATGCAGATGTTTGCAGCCGGGCAATTGAATTTCTAGAGCCACTCGGTTTTCTGGTTTGCCCGAAGTTCGAACCTGTGATGATTTTGTGGTCATAATGATTTCTTGCTCTGACTGTTTGCTATTCTGAGTCCGCCTGATTGACCGCACAATATCCTGTCATTAGGGTCGGACATATGCTGCTGCTCCGTTGGATCGAAATCCTTCGCCTTCTGGCGCTGCCTCAAACGAAGCGTATTGTGTATTTATGAAAGCATCTAAAATGCATGCACAGATCAGCCCAACTCCCTGTCATAATTTCCCATTAACCTACTTCCCGAAAAAGGGAGCCGCATCCCCGGGCATCCTTTTCTCCTGCTCATTAGCTGACAGCCAGGATTCTGGCGTTTAATTATGTCACACCCGGGTCGCATCCTGTATGCTGACATATGTGTGTGAGTTGTCAGCGCGGAATTCATCAAACATGCAGCGAAATTGCTCCCCTGGTCAACTTGCCCCGCCCCTTTTCCCTCACTCCCTGCTCCTCTGGGCAGGACATCAAATGTGCCGGCCATAAACTCTCCAATTAGATTCCTGGGCCCCACTTGTGTAGGTGTGTGTGTGTGGGCTGCCAATCAATTTTTAATGAGTTTGAAATTGTTTGGCGAACCAACAATAGCTAATGTTGGCTTAAAAAGATTTTATGATTAGCCAGGGTTTTCTACGAGATCGCTTTGGCAAGTTTAAGGATCAGTTTTGTATGGAAATATGTTAATTTATTTGTTTGTTTAAAAATATATTTTGTTTTTCAAATTTTATTATAATTTTTATTCCAACTGAATATGGTTTTTAAGTTCTAGTTCCAGATTTAAAATCTGTTTCACTTCATTTAAAGAACCTAAGTGTTGAAATTAATTATTAACATATTTAATTATTTGCCTAAAATTACTATTTCAAATTCATTTCATTCCATGCTCTTGCAACTTTAAACTGTGATTCAATTAACATGGCAGAGCCTTCGACTCCTCGGTAGACTTAATTGCCGCACTGACTTACATAAGAAACAGGCTCACTGAGAAGGGGCGGTAAAAAGGGGGTGGGAAACCCAAGATAGGGGACAGCAGGTGTTCTGGACTCGGCCAAGTTAATGCTCGCCTAAGCCCCGCAACTGCAAACATCATTAGCCAATATTATATGCATTAAATTTTATGCCCAAATGGCCCAGAAAGGGGGTGGCAAGTGGGTGGTGGGGAGGAAAGTTGGGTTGCTGGCTGGCAGCGCTG